AGACGAAATACCGGAGAACGCACTAAGTGGTCTCCAAAACGTAGGTGTTGAATGGACAGCTGGACAAAAGCTGTTATTTCGGGTATGCCGATGACATCGTCTGTATGTTTGAACGTTTGGAGGACGTGCAAAGCGCACTTGATAGGCTAAAAAGTGCTGTTGCCACATTCGGTAAGTGCTTTGCAGGTTCAAAGTCCAAGGTGATGCTGCAGGACTGGGTTTCGCCGATTCCCGTTCTGAAGCTACATGACCATGAATTAGTCATGGTGGGTTACTTTTCCTACTTTGGTAGTTGCGTGACCAATGAAAGTAGCGCAGCAAAAGAGATAACCGCCCGCATTTCTGAGGCATGAGCAACATACGCAGGACCGAAACACCTTTGGCGTAGACACGACGTTTCACTGAAGTTCAAAGGTTGTGTACATTGTGCTAGTATTCGTTCAGTCCTGCTTTATGGTTGTGAGACATTAAATTTGCTAGTAAAAGATATCCGTCGACTAGAGGTTTTCCATTCTCCTTTTTTCGCAGTTTAGCCCATGTTGGATGGAGCAACCGGGTCAGTAATGTGGAGGTAAGCCGCCGTGTGTTTGGGAGTCTATCAGGGATCAACCTCCTAGCATATCGAATTCAGATTAGTAAACTTCACTGATGTGGGCACGTATTGCGTATGCCCAGCCATCGTCGGCCTCACCGCGGTTTATTCGCTGTAGCTAATCTGGGTTGGAGGAAAACACGTGCAGGTCAACAGATGACGTGGAGAGGAGACATGAAGAAATGCACAGAACCATTAGGTAGAGTAGGTGTCCTTAGCCTTCCAGGTTGGGGTCTGAAAAACTCCACAGCTGGTTGGTTGGAGACATTGGAGGATATGGCAGCGAACCGACAGCAGTGACGTTTTTGTTGTCATTTCTTGGCAGGCCAGAACACTTGAAACTGTATGTATGCAGAGTTCGGTTACGTACTCTGTGTGTCGACCATAGTGGCTCATTCTCTTCTCTCCCACCCTTGTCCACCTTAAATTTTACCACCAACCTTGTATGCATTGTGAGTTTGGTAGCGATCAGTGAAGTTCGCCTCACTGTATTTCGCTGTACGATGATGATGATGATACTGAACTAATATTGTTGCATGGCTTCTTTGTGTAAACCTTGCGATAAATTGTATCACTCATAAGAGATCCGCTTGTGTTGGACCTTTTATTTTGCTCTCCGCTGCTCCTTCGCTCTTGCTGATCTTTATCACACGCTATGTCATTCAAGTAGATAAATTCTGGAACATTCATCTTTCGGACCCCCAAAATATTCTCTATAATGACTTACCCAACATCCTATATCACTCCCGGTTTTCATAATCTGCAACCAGAAATTAGGGTCCCGCTTGGATTCCATAGTGATTGTCTTTCATTGTGCGCAATCGAAAATCAAGTACAAAATAAATTGGCCGAGATAATTATTCAATCCGAAAAGGAAAATGACGGTTAATCGGGCTATATGGTCTACCATTTTACTCGGCGTTTGTTGAATGGTAATCTACTGGTTCTGTAGCTCTATGCACTCTACTCCTTGGTGATTTGAGAATTCAGCACTGATATTAGAAAAGCTCAACCTGCTGTCATTTCGTGTAAGAACACTTGTCAAAACAGAATAGAGCAACCAATAGGGTCATCGGGATGCAGTTCATAGGTTGTACTTGAAAGCTTACTTCTCAGATGATCATTCATATATAAAGTTTTGGGGAGGCGGAAATTTTGGAATTCATAGTTGCAGTTGTGATTCGCGTTTTCTCGAGCTCCGGTAAAACCAAAGGATTTGATGTATTATTGTCTCGGTCATCAGTTAGAATCACATCATGTGAGATAGGAGTTTTTTGGTATGTTTGTCTGATTGCAATCACAAATATTGAGTGTGCTTTTCTCTTGCTGAGATTTCTTTGACTTGTCATGAATGCTCTGATCTTTAAGTCATGCATTGGAAACATTGTTGGATCCTGGTAGGTTGAAATCCTGAACTAATCTCCTTTGCTACCATAACCCATAGAACAAGCATCTGATGGCAGTTGCTTGTGCCCTACTGTCAGTGAGAGGTCGGTTACACAAAATCTGTATCCACGGTCATTATTGGCTTGCCATGAACCTCTCTTCACCTAAATGAGACGACGAATAGAAAATCCCTGGAGTTATAATCCGGTTAATGAACCGTTCAACAGTTAACCCGTCTGGGGATTGGGCAAAACCCAATTCTGTTTAACCCAGAAGTAGTCACCGGCATGCTGGGACACGGATTTCTAAGGTATCCAGGACGTGCGGGCTTCACCCGAAGGGTTTTTCGCCAACAAACGGGACACCGATCCCCTGAACATAATTATATTTTACACAATCCGCTAGATGAACTAACTGTCGGTGGTTCCTCAACCTGGTCATAACTCCGCGGTTTGCCTTTTCGTCCCCACAGTTTGATGAAAACCTCTCCATGAGAAACCAATAACCGTGAGCGTAGATCATTCTAAGGCAACGTAAAATGAACCGGGAACAGTGAACTTCGTTTACCGTGTCATCCGCTTTGGGCTGTCACAGTGTGCGCGCCCGGAACAATGAACGACGTTATTTACCGAAGCGGACCTAAAAGTGTTTAAATGCATACTAAATTTGAATCATTGTGTCTCCTTTATTAATTTCGTCAACATAGAAAGAAGACAAATTTCGCGAGATGTTAACATTTCGTTTAATCTTCTCAATCGCTTGCTTTAAGCAAATGATTGAAAACACACAAACATATATATCACATGGGGTTATTCAGTTATAGTGAATGAACGTGTATAAGCATACAAAGATCACTAAACATAGAAGTAGAAGGTCAACTCCACGGTAAGTGGATTGATTGAACCAAAATCTTTTGTGCGCATAAGGTCGGGTGATGTAACCGAATAAGAATACATACTAAATTGATTGGAAAATGTTTAGCCCTAAGATACACAGTTAAAATATCGTACCATTCTAGACGGATTAATGATGACTCGACATTAAAATTCATCAGCGAGAAACTGGCACTTTTGAGGAAGAGAATCGAAGCAAACGTAGGCATGACAAAGTTTATTTTCCGACGCCATCTAGAGATTTATAATTGTATTATGTTATTGAGGATACGGCTTCTGACGAACATCTTTTTTATAAACTCACTGAAGGTGGTCTCAGTGGACTGATCCTGAACCCAGTCTGGTGAGAACGGCACTCGCTGTTAGCTTCAGTCCAAATGAAGTACTAACAAGTGGACTAACACATTTGGATTAAACATTGAACATTTGTTTGTGGATTAACTAATAAGGAATGTGAATAGTTCTTTCTGGAAGACCAACTTTGTGTTTGAATAAATATAAAGGGTTTTCGCAGTTGTTAGCTAGTCGGATACATCCTCTTTCGATATTGCATGAATGAATAAGTAAGCGGCGGAGTATGATGATGTAGATTCGCTAAAATTATTGGTAAATGCGTCCTTTAAGCTACCCACGGCATAGTTTTATCTACTGATTTTATGTCTGACCCATATGTAATCCTAAATTTATTACACAAACACCTTTCATTTGCCACTATCAGAACTTGTACGAACGATGGATCAATACCATGCCGATCCTTGTCAAGTTAATTCATTTCTGGATTGAAATATCTGTGGGTGTGAACTTCTTACTGGAAGTCGCCCAAACGTGGTCAGTTTACTACTGTCTATGAAAACAAGGTGAAATCAGCTGATTCATTTGAACATGAGTGTGGAGCCATTTGGTTGTATGATTCATGAGCGTAGCCCTATCCGTGATCACAGATGCTAATATACAGAGAGACGGTCCTCTTTTTAGGCCAATTTTTTACTTAACATATTTGTCTCATTCTCCCTCACATTGTTTTGTTTGTGATGAAATAACATCACACATCGAATCGATGAAAATGCACATTTTGTGCCCCTAAGTGTTATGGACCTCTCATATGTTTGTTTGTTGCTTTACAGGATTTCAGTACCCCGGAAATTCGTCGAGTCCCTCTTGATACATTGGTCTTGCAAATGATGGTTATGGGTTTGCCAGATATTAAAAGATTCCCTTTTATTGAACCACCGGAGGAAAAATGTCTAGAGGATGCCATAGAACGACTATTGGTGAGTTCTGTTTATTTACGTTTACATTACCCTCCTTTTGTGTTCATGCCATTCAATCCCGGCAATTGAGTACCATGTGATGATGATGCCACCGCCACTATGCTTTGGTGGCAGCCGGCTTCACCGTCTTCCGGTGCAATATCACGCTTATCCCAAGCCCCAAGGGCTTAGGTGAAACCTTATCATGATTAAATAGTATTTTCTCGTGACCGTGGGCTTATCCGCTTCTACTTTTTATCACATTGACGTAGTTCTTATATTGTATTGTATTCAAGCTTTAGCGAGTTATATATACAAGCTTTCAGCCAAAAAATAGACCACCGTGACAATTCTGGTAAAAACAGGGGGAAAAAGTGGGATGTGAAAACGTCCAAAGGTGAGTTAATTACCGAATGCATCAGAAAGCTCAGAGCGAACACTTTCCTTGTCGGTCAGTATCCGGGCAAGATAGGGTACCAAAGAGTTTCTGTATGCGGATATGCGAGACGGGATAAGTTTGTACTTGGAACGGGTGCAGGGGTGGGATTTGCATGCACACAAGTCACTGTGTAGAGGATGGGTGCAATCAGATAGGATATTGTCAGCAATTTTTAAGCATGCATCAATATGGACATTACACATATTGCCGATGAGAACAGATAATGGAACTTGGGAGACACGGCTGATCATTGAGAGGCCACGCCTCAGCAACTTGAAATCAGCCTTCAACAAACCAGGGAAAATTACAGGAGAGCAATAAAGGGGTATAGGGAGAACACATTGTTGAACAAAAGTGTTTATCACCGACGAGTCAAAACAGAATTGGCGCAGTCTTCTGATCTGAAAAGAGAGCCTTTTCAACTTGCGAGCAGTACTTTGGGTATGTAAGGACCAGCGAAGATTACTTTCAAGTGTGACACCTAAGTACTTCACATGGCTGACCCGGCTCATTGGCTTTCCATGAATCGGGACATTTTGTGTGCCCAACCAAGGGGAATGTATAACAATTTAAAGGTGACACTATGACGGAAATAGTTACTCGAACGTTGACAACAGCGGTCGGTCAAACTTTCCATGCAGCGAGACTGCGTGTCACATTCGCATCTAGACCGGCCCTCACGCGGCAGCTTAAAAATAAAGTTCCTGTTTCTGCTAGCCTACTTTGCATTTACTCTGTCACTTGTTCCCGCGGAACAACGTACATCGGTCGCACGAGCAGATGCTTGACTCAGAGAGTTTGTGAGAATCATCCGGGCTGGGTTGCACACTGGGGTGACAAAGTCAATTACGAGTGCAATCTGTTCACACTATGTCGAGTCAGGTCATTTAGTTGACTAGACCGGGACGTCTCGTCCCCTATACCAGGTTTGTGAACAGCAACCTAAGCCGATTAAACATCACATCCTGGCCACAGAGGAAGCAGTGGGAATTCCCATCCACTCTTGTGTGCGCCAAAACAATTTGTGAAGACGTTGTGTCTCTCATGCCCCCCCCCACCCAGCCCATTTTCACCCTTCCCTCCCAATTTTCGGCAAATCCGAACTAAACAACACACCGGAACCGGTAAACATTATAAATATTCCTTTAAGTTTATCAATTTAATATTGTCATTTTTTGTAGGTAATATCTCCGCCCTTACGTATTGTAACTGAGTTATATAAATTGTGATGTATTAGCCAGAGAAGACGAATCACTGAAAACAACTCTTGTTCGCTACATTGTGTTCTATTCAGAATGTATAATAATAGACGGTACCGTCAATCATCCGTGCCTGTTAGATCGCTGATGTAGTTCCCGTGTTTACGCGGGCATTTGTTCGGAGCGCTCGTTGCAAAATCAACTAATGGTATGATGGGAATGCTACTGTGCTCACTTGCTGATCACGAAAAGCAAAATCACCATAGCAGTATGTAATCAATCGTGACACCAAAAGTGAGTGAACACTATTAGCGGGAACGCTTTCAGCGTTGGCGAGCATGAGTTTCCGATAAGACATCACTCGCCAACTTCGAGTCATCCCTGGTGCCCGATTGTTTTGCCCACTCACTGAGATGTCCTTCTGTATGGGATTTCGCTTTCCAGATGTATCCTATTGTACTGATTTTTAACTCGTGCAGGGTTAGCCTCCGAATTGGAAAATCAATCTTGTTTACTTTGCCTGGTTATCGGATTATCTAAGATACCGCACTGGATTAATTTGTTTCCTCGCTCTGGCTCAAAGAACCTTGGGAATTGAAGTGTTGAAGCCTCACGTGTGCAAAATTTGGACAAATCGATGTCTCATATATGAGGCTGAAAACAAGAGCATTAGGAAGCTTAAAATCAAACCACCTTTTTGTATGCACATTGGCTGAGGTACGAACAGTATTTGAAGTGGAAATGTAACAGTGACATCGTACTGATGAATCAGGTTTGTTTTTCTCAGATCACTTCTAATTTTGCTCACCCATAACGTGGGCTACATTTTCCGGTGCTTCTGGAACAAACATCTAGTTGGTATCTTAATGCTGACCCCAATGTTGTTCAGTTCCGGGTTTTGTATAATCAATCAGTATGTTTGACGACTAGTGAGACTCAATTCACACGAGCAATTTGATCCTTCTCTTTATTCCATTCCCCTCTGTATACGTGTGATTTTTTATTATCTTACTGTGTCTAGACGGATTCACCAGCTTCCGTCTGATTTGACTCATCAGTCAAGCTGGTGGGATCGCCACATAGTTCAAAGGTTGAACGGAATGATAGACCAGTACTAGTGATGAGCTCTTACAGGAGCGAAATTTTATTCTTGTGCTTCCGAGTGTATGATTGACCGGATGAATTGAGGATTTTACATGAAGGTAGATTCCGAACAATGTTCAGTCTAAATCAAAAGCTATCAAGTTGTTTCATCGCTGGTAAAATGCCTAGCAAATAACTTAGTTGATTTGAAATTCATTAACATTAGCCATACTTCATGTCGGAAACTATTTCAGCCAACGAGTGGGCAGCGCCAGTTTCACACTTTCCCATTAAACAGTTGCACTAGACCTTGACCGTCAATTTGATCTCATTCCGACTGTGTCCCTTCCCAGGCTGGGTACTGAATGTACTGGACAGAGCTTAAACAATCGATAATTGCTTCTCGCACATTGTAGTGCCGAATTGGTCCTTTGTATTGCTGTACGATCTCACTTCGACAGAAAAAAAGTATTTTCTTATTGATATGAATGCGTTCTTGTTCGTTTGTTTTCACTCCAGTCGCATGGCGCTCTGCTGAAAATACAGTCGAATCAAACTTCGAAACCGCACTCCTCGAGTGCATCGAGTTCGTTGATCATTACCCCCCTTGGTCGACTGCTGGCCGATCTACCGGTCGAATTCGCACTTGGGCGAATGCTAATCATGGCCTCGATGCTCGGACTGGTCGAACCAGTGCTCAGTTTGGTTGCGGGAATGTCTGTTCAAGCTCCTCTAACTCCAGTGACCTCTTTCGGTGGATCGGAACTGGCCCGACGTATGGAGGCACTATCCGANGAATACGAAAGTGATCACGGTGACGCATTCACTGTGATGAATGTGTTCGACGAGTGGCTCCGTGTAGGTTGCTCTATCCGATCGTCCTGATTCGCGTGTTATGCTTGTATAGGTGCATTTCTAATCAGTTGGTTTTATTCGATTTACCGATTCATTGTCAGTTTTCCTCATTGCACTGTCCTGCGTGACAGACGGCTAAAGGAATGAACCCCGTACTTGATAGGATTGATTGATCAGTTATGTTAGTTCTTCATTATTTTTCACATTTTGGTTGCGTAGTTAAAGTAGCTTCTTCTTTGATTTGATCTCTCCTGACTGTCTTGAATAACTTTCGAATTTACAAAGAAGCTAATGATTCTTTTTTACTGTAATGTTCCTTTCTCTTTTGACTGTTGATTTTTTGCTACCCTTGTCAACGGAGTGACCTTTTTTGTGACTGTCTTTAACCGTGTGCCCTGCCTTGGCCTGGGCAATCTGGCAGTACTCAGCCCACAAGCCAATCATGGAACATTTTTTTTTTATAAAGATTATTGCACCATGGTTTGTTTGGCACACAGTCTGTCCTCAGACAAGTGTGAAATATAATATACTTTAACTGTGTTCTGATTCCCGGATGCAGCTACGCTGTTGATGGACATTGCAAACTCCTTTGAGTCCACGCAGATTCTTATGTCACAGTTCTCAATCACAATTTTGTAAATCACCGTTTTAAATAGCGGTCAGAAAGAAATGAGTGTGGGATCATATAACTGAGAGATAAACGCCGCGTCATCATCTATGTGGTTCCATAATAAGTACGAGAATAGCATTCGTGTTCCTTTACTTTGTAGTCGCGCTTCGTTGCTTGACCTGACAAAGCGAATGCAGAACGAATCTCAATTATCAACCATCTGCCGTTTAATGTATATATATATATATATATATATATATATATGTGGCAAGAGAATCCATTCGTACCCTGAGTTGTAAAGTGTTATTTATGAAATATCGATTCAAACTAGGACTCTTTATCAAGTGTAAATGAAGTGAATGGAAGATTGGGACTACCGTCTCTCTGTTCGCGATGTGCTTGTTGTGTCTATCAATCCATCAATTGTCACGGGTCTCGCCAGAGTAAAGTAGTTTTTCTACCTCGGCCTGTCAACTGAACGAATTGATCCATAGACCCGATCAATTTGAGAATTGATCTCTCCCCTTGTTTCTTTGCTCGCGGCACCATCTTTTCTTTATCGATCGGGATCTTGTGATCTGTCTGTGCACCGTATTTCCAGGTTCGTGACCCTGGGTCAGCACGTCGGAGAGTAGGCTTGTGTTTAGGTATACAAGTGCGTAGTCGTTTGCCTGTCTCACATAATGTTAGCTGCTATCCAGGTACAGAACTGCTTATACCACGCCTGATTTTTCGGTCCGACCGTAGACTGTGAAAAGGAATGATGCCGTTTTCGCGACCGTTTTACTTCGATTCTCTAAGTTGTTTCCCATCTGCCTA